TAGCCTAAGGCTGAAGGAAATCTTCGTATCTTCTCTTACAGTAACAATACAGAAGAACTACAGTTGTAGTTGCAGAGTTCTGTTACTGCCCCTAAAAATGGCGTTACTGTTCCAGAACGAGCCACAGAGGGGTAAAATCTGACTGGGACAATCAGGGTGAAAAGGATTGTTACCTGACCAGGGAGGCAAAGCAGGGCAGAAAAAGCTGGGAACAAAGACTAACCAGTCATAAGATCACTGTTTGAGCAGACTAAACATTGCTGTACGGCTACAGAAAGGAAAAACAGCACAGTACAAAATGGGGAAAATTGGGATGTAACCACGAAAAGGATGGGAAGACACTGAGGGAGGTGCACACTGACTGTTGGGGGACAACAGTGGGGGCTGCACCTTTCAGAGCTCTTCAATAGAGAGAAAATTACTTTTGCCATGTCCAACAAGGGCCACAGGAGGGGAGTTAGGAAAGTGATAACAGGGGAGGTATCACTCAGAGGTGACAGGGAGATATGGCTGAGCAGTGCAGGGGCCTTCAGGGAAGGCACAGGACGGTGAGGAGGGAGCTCCTGGCAACTCTGATATGAGGAAAAAAGGGGAAAAAATGTGGGATGCCACCTCAGCGAGGGGGAAGGGACAGGATGTCCACAGAGTTCAAATACCAGATAACGGGGGCCAGCACCAGGGAGCAAAAACTCAAAACTGACTTCTGTGACTCCAAGAAAATATTACAGGGGGAGAGAGTAAGAAATGAAAGAGGCAAGACAGGGTCCTGCTCTGCCTGGGCATGCTGATCACTGTTCAGATAGAGAAGCTCCCTGCCAAGTCTGAACCCGGGCACTGGGAAGAAAGTGGCCTAAACTGGGCTACTGGGGAGGGCAAACTGGAGAGGCTTCCACATGGCTTCAGAGAGGGAGTTGGTACATGCTGGGTGGCTGAGGGCAATTCCAGGAGGCCCTGAGGACAGTTAGGGGGTCCTTGGCAGACTCTGAAGGACATTTGGGGGCAGCTGTTGACAGGCACCCGGGAAAACAGCTTGTTACGAGGTTCCCTGAGGAGCATTTAGGGGTTCACAAGTCCATGAAAAGCCGTTGGGGGGGTGTTGTCGGCAGGTCTCTGAGCGGCGGTTAAGGGGGGCGCCAACACGTCCCTGAGGGGCGGTTGGGGAAGGGGGGACGCGGAAATGGCCGGGTCCCTGAGGGACGGTTGGGGGGGGCTCGCCGGCAAGTCCCTGAGGGGCGAGGGGTGCGTGAGGTGGTCGCCGGCAGCCCCCTGAGGGGCGGGGGGGCCGTGGCTAGCAAGTCCCTGAGGAGCAGGGCGTGACTGTTCAGATAGAGAAGCTCCCTGCCAAGTCTGAACCCGGGCACTGGGAAGAAAGTGGCCTAAACTGGGCTACTGGGGAGGGCAAACTGGAGAGGCTTCCACATGGCTTCAGAGAGGGAGTTGGTACATGCTGGGTGGCTGAGGGCAATTCCAGGAGGCCCTGAGGACAGTTAGGGGGTCCTTGGCAGACTCTGAAGGACATTTGGGGGCAGCTGTTGACAGGCACCCGGGAAAACAGCTTGTTACGAGGTTCCCTGAGGAGCATTTAGGGGTTCACAAGTCCATGAAAAGCCGTTGGGGGGGTGTTGTCGGCAGGTCTCTGAGCGGCGGTTAAGGGGGGCGCCAACACGTCCCTGAGGGGCGGTTGGGGAAGGGGGGACGCGGAAATGGCCGGGTCCCTGAGGGACGGTTGGGGGGGGCTCGCCGGCAAGTCCCTGAGGGGCGAGGGGTGCGTGAGGTGGTCGCCGGCAGCCCCCTGAGGGGCGGGGGGGCCGTGGCTAGCAAGTCCCTGAGGAGCAGGGCGTGTGTGGAGGGGAATGGCCGGGAGCTCCCTGAGGGGTGGGCTTGAGGGGGTCCCTGGCAGGCCCCTGAGGGAGGTTTGGGGGGGGTCTTTGGTAACTCCCGGAGGGGCGGCCTGGGGTCGCCGGCGGGCGCTCGCCGCAGGCCGTACCGGGCGGGAGGGGGAGGCGGCGGCGGAGCTGAGGG